GAGCGTGTCATTTAAAGTTGGTGCGTATTGGACAAGGTATGCATAGTCTTTTTAAACGATTCAAATTTTTTTTTTCAATAATTATATAAGTCATTTTAACTTATCAAATAAGAGAGGTAATCAAATTATCAACATTATTTAAAAAATAAAAATATTCAATTTACTCCTGCTAAGTACTCTCTCAACTATTATAAAGCACTTTTAATTACCTTGTTGGAGCTAACAAAATGTGATTAAATTATTAACTTTATTTAAAAAAATAAACCTTCAATTTAACCCATGTTTAAATGAAAAATTTTCAAGTGTAAACAGAGGTAATGTTGAAAAAATATATTTAATATTCTATTAAGTATTTTATATCAAGTACCATCAATCTTTTCCAAAACTTGCTTTACAATAAAAATTTGAGGGAGCGCATCATATTTATAAATATTTTCTTACTCATGTGCAACCTTTACTTTAGTCATAGAAAATTGTGAGATGACTTGGAAAAATACTCATTGATGTCATCTAAAACGTGACTCACGTATAAAACCAGTGATGGTAGTTGTCTGTAAAATTAATAATGAAAATTTTTTATCTGTCATTTTTCAATGTTGTCATTCTTATATTTTATTTCATATGAATACATTAACAATAGTTTTTTGTTAGGATGCGTGCAGTCCGTGTATCTTATGGACTATGGCACAGTCACATTCGTCCAATTATGAGAACCAAATACTGTGTGATTGAGTTTTCTTTTTGTGGAAGTTGTTGGATGATGGGATTGATTTTGGATCGGGGCAGATGCAGAGAGTAAATCTTCATCCTATTAAACGCAAATACTGTAAATTACTAAAAGTATGTACTAGATCCGTGAATGATGGAGAAGGGGATCTTCAGGGAATATTATGTGCTTGAGAGGGATGTCAGATTTTTTTTTAAATTGAAATGTTTGCGATAGAAAATGTGCTATAAACGAGGCGGTTAGGGGCAGCCTATAAGCAATCGAAACGGAGCAGCTTAGAACAGACAAGGACCACATCCAAAAGGGTGCATGGTACAAGAAAGTTAAACATGCATGGTCACAATAGGCAATAGGGAGCCTCGCGCTGCTTTTAATTTTTTCTGCAAACATTTCCTTTTATTACCTCCTTTGTTTTCTTCTGGTTCAATCCTGCCGCCTGCGTCAGTCTTTTAAAGTTAGAAATTATATACTTTCTCTTTATAAAATATAAATTATTTTCAATTAAATTTTATCTTACAATAAAATAATTATTTATTTTTAAATTAATTTTTATTAAATATTTTATAATAAATATAGTTATTTATTAATAGAAGTACTTTTTAAAAAAAGTGATGATTATATTTTAAAAGATTAAAAATATCTTACATTTTTTAACATTTAATTCCTCAAAAATACCTTATATTTTTAACGGAGAAAATACATTTTATTATTTCATCCATCTCAAATTATAAAATATTTTTAAATAAAATTTTATATATTAATTAATTTTATTAAATATACTTAACAATTTTATCTTTTTAAAATAAAAATAATTTTTTTAAAATACTTATAATTTAATAAATTAAAAATGATAGGGAAGGAAATTAATTATAAAGAGATAAAAGATAATATTAAAATTAATACATTTAATAAAATCTTATTAAATTCAAAGTATTTTATATTTTAGGATAAAAACTCTTTTAAAAATACCATATAATTTAAAATGAAAGAAATATTATTTTTAAAATAAAATGTTTTATATTTCATAAAAAAATTTATATAAGTCCATCAGACTTCAGGCTCCAAGCCCCCCCATCCGATGGTGACACTCCACCAGTCACGTCCCTTTGTTCCCAAATGCATATGCATTATGGGCAATTTTTCCTTATTTTATTATTTAAAAAATGTGGGTATATAAAAACAAAAACTTGCATGAAAATTGTTAAGTAGATTGAGTGCGTCACATTATTTATATTCTGTTAAATAAAAATATAACATTTGCATAATATTAAATATAAATTAATTTTGATATTAATAAAAATAGAGAGAGAAAAAGTAAAAAATTAAATTTATATTCTATTATAAGAATAAAATTAATTAAAAACATCACATAAAATTTTATTTAGATTAATTAAAATATTTTAATTGAACAGATTATAAATAATGTAGTGTATTCTGTTCATCTAAGTATTTCTCTTTCCTCCATTTTTAATTCCTAAATATTTTATATACAAGGACGGAGAAAATACTTCCCATGTTAAAAAAAATAAAAAAATATAATCTTTAATTTCTGTAATTTTATTGAATTTTTTAAGTCTTTAATATTTTTTTAGTGTTTTCAATCTTTATAGAAACTAAAATAATTAAAAAATAAAAACTATGTGAATTTAAAATACAAAAATCATTCAATTTTTTTAAAATTATAAAGATTAAAAATATTAAAAAATTATAAAAATTGAAAACAAAACTTAATAAAATAACAACAGCTAAAGATTATGATTATTTTTTTTAAAAAAAAAAAACACCATTTTCTCCAAGGATGTGAGACTCCAGGCCATTAGAGTCGGTAATTCGGGCCAAGCTCGACGGGCTAGCCTGAATTAGCCCGAAAAATTTTAAGGTCAGGCTTAAAAAAAAAGGTGTTTTTTTATACTCGATTCGAATAGGCCCGAATACCGGAATAAAAAATTATATTTTTAAAAAATATATAATATAATAAATATTAATTAATTCTTTAAGTTTTAGATCATTTTATACTAAAATACCATATATTTGAGTCCTAGACATCATTTAAGTCTTAAAAAAATATATTTTATATTTTTTATAAAATAAAATAATTAATTTCAAAGTAAAAAATAATTAAAAATAATTTTAAAAATTAAATTCGAGTATTCGGGCCGCCCAAAGCTTGAAGGAATTTGGGCCAACCTTAACTATTCAGGCTTTTTGAAAAGTCAAGTTTGTTTGAGTTCAAACTTGTTAGGGTTGGGTTTGAATAAGCCCGACCCATTCGAATTTTCAGCTCTACAAGCCATGCCCTCTCCATAAACAATACTTGATCCCAATTCCTATTTCCCAAGCAGTGTTTTCAATTATTATTTTTTATTTCCATCGGCAGCAGGCCCCCACCACCGATCATTTAAGTAAACCAGCGAGGACACCGTAAGGGCTTCGATGCTGACGCCAACTGACATGTCACCTGGCATTTGTGGTAAATTTAATTACGAGATCACATCAGAACCCAATCAAATGAAAGGGCCACAAGGCAAAACTATATTACAATAATCGGAGGCCAAAATTAATTTTAACATTTTTAACATGTAAAAACAATGTAAATTTAACAAAAATTTTGAACCTTACTTTCCTGCTAAATCAGTCCTTATGCATACTTATAAAATATAATAATAATACTTTACAAATTTATATTTTTAAAATAAAATTATAAATTTCAAAAATACTCTCATACACTAAATCATTACATTTTAATTTTGTCTTATTATCTGGGATAGAGAGAGTACTTTCTTCAAGTAATAATATATGACAACTTTTAGAACCCTTATTTAATCTAAAATATACTCCCTCAGTTTAAAAATATAAGGTATTTTTAATCGAATCTCATCATCAAATAAAGTAGTTATCTACTTTTTAACTAACTTTATCTTTTTATATTTACACCTATTAAATACCTTACAATAAATATAAATTTATTATTAATAGAGGTATTTTTAAAAAAAGGGCAATGATTACACCTTGAAAGACTAAAATGCTTTACATTTTTTAACAGAGAGAGTAATATATTGAGGTATTTTTATAATTATTTTTTAGGAGGGTATAACTCTGGATTCCTACATTTTGCTTAAATTTTGTTGTAGATCTCTACACTTTTTTTTATATTCTAGGACCTTTTTTTTTTTGATGTTCTAGGTTCTTATAATATCGCTCATGGAAGAACCAAGAACACTGAAAAATAAAAATGTAAAGACTTGTAACGTCAAAAAATGTGTAGGGACTTATAACAAAATTCGAACAAAATACAGGAACCCAAAGTTATATTTTTTTTAATTTTTTAACTATATCTCTACTTTATTTATTACTCTTTATGAAAAAATATGGATTAAAATTTTAATTATCATTATCAAAGTATTTATGTAGGGTATTTAATGAAGATAAAATTGAAAAGATGTAAACTTTTTTAATAAATTAAAGTTTCAATTAATTTTCTTAGAACTGTAAATTACTCCATTTGGTCCGAAATATAGGTATTTTCCTCAACTAATCCCAATTCAAAATATAACTAACCTGGTATGTGTAAAAAAAAAATTTCTCATCTTACCCCTTATATTTATTAATTTAAATATTTGTGTAAATATATCGCTCATTTGTCATATAGCATATTAGTAACTGGAATTATGAGTAAAAATAAAAAATATATAATTTTTATGGGAATAAAAGCTATATTGGTATGCAAATTTTTTTCAAAAATTGCTTATATTTTAAATTAAAAAGAGTACTTACCAATGCCTTATATTTTGATTTAGAGGGAGTACTCATTTCATCTTAAATTATAAAAAAATTTGAAATAAAATTATACATGCTAATAAAACATAATAATAATACTTTACAAATTTACTTTTTCAAAATAAAACTATAACCTTTCAAAAATACCTTTACATAGTTAATTATTATATTATTATATTATTTTAATTCTCTCTTCACTTGAAAGGTAATATTAAAAAATATTATTAATAAAATTTTATTTTTTTTAAATTATTTTATATAATAGAACTTGCGTTGTAATTTAACGAAGGAAGTAACATATACTGTATATTAGGCTCCCCCATAAATGTCTTTTAAAAACATTCTTTGATCATAAATATAAAATATTTGATATTACATTAATTATATTTTTTAATATTATTTTTATTTAAATTCATTACCTCTTCCCATTCTCAGTAAGATAACAAGTACACCTGTTTTCTAAATCTCAGAAAATTCAATGTTAGGGGTGGATGCTTTTGGCTATATATCTTGGGATAGAACCTTGCCTCATGACCGCACAAATTAACCTGAGCTCTCCTGCTGATAAACACTGTAACGAGGCTGGACTTTTCATTTTCAACAGCATACCTTGTTCTTTTCCAACTCCTCCCTTTTCCTTCCCATGTCTCAAACCCTTTCACCCTTTCGTCCCTTGATTTCTTTTTTTTATTTTTTTCTCTACTCATCTGTTAAACCGCAAAGGTATATCCATCCTATCCCTCTCTCTCTTGTTTCCGATCTTTGTTTCGGACGATGAATGCTGATGGAAATGACTAGCTAGGCTTGCTTCATTGATGCAGAGAGCTGCTGAAGAAACAAAGGCAGGCTGGAGGGGGAAGGTGGTTGACAGAAGATAGAGAGCACAAGTGAACATGCCCAAAAAGCTTCTTTTGTGTGTGTCCAGTCTTGTGCTCTTCTATCTTCTGCCAACACAAAGTACTTTCCTCTCAAACTTCTTTCTCACTGCATCTTACTAGCAAGGTATGATCCTTTTTATGCTCATTCTTTCAACATTACGTAACTTGGGGACCGCCATACACCTATTTAACTTATAGTGCTGCGTGTATAGAAATAAGACAAGTCACGAAGTAGGGTCTCTTTGTTCAGCTTTTATTAGATTTAACCATGGCAAGAGTGGGTTCTGTGACAGTTAAAAGACAGTGAGATGTCCCGGATGAGCCGTCGTCGTTGCAGAGAAGAAGCAAAAGTCCAAGCTTGAGGGGGTAGCTAGCCTCATGTGGTTGTTCAAACATGAAGGCGAGGTTGGAGAAAGTTTGAAAGCATCGTCTGCTGTCCATTTTTCAATAACCTACGAGGTACGGAAGCTTTCGGAGCCATGAACGAAAACAGTCGCGTTCTTGGCATCATTCCCCATCTCATAAATTTTCCCTCACCTCACCGGCAATTGTTTTTGACTGTATCTTCACAGGACTTAGATTAGGCCCACATTGTGAATGTGATTTTACAAGTTCGTTAAAAGACTACTCCTTACATTAAATAATAAGATATAAGATATTTTTTTGAGCATTTTTATGTTAAAGATGTAGGTCATTTTTAATGTAATTAATGTATCATTATTAAAAGTGTCCTTAATAAATAAATTATTTTTTATTTATTTTAAAGTGAAACATCTTATTAAATAAGGGTGAATACAAAAAATTAATATTAGTTGGGAGATAATTAACTACTTTATTAGAGTGTAATTTAGATAAAAATATCTTACATTTTTAACGAATGGAGTACTCTTTTACAATTATGCAATTAATTAATTTTAGTAAAAATCACAAATGAATATGAGAATTTCAATAAAAACCCTTGAACCAGATTTATTTAAATTTAAAACCCTTAAAATTTTTAAATTTTACTGTCGTCCAAGGGTACTGATTTGATATTAAATTTAAAAAAAATGACAAAATGGCCCATCATTTAAATTAATAGAAAAATATAACTTTTAATTCCTGCAATTTGCTCGAATTTTGTTATAGGTCTCTACTCTTTTTTTTTTTTGGTATTTTAGGTCCCTCCTTAACAGTGTTATAGGGATCTAAAATATTGAAAAAAAATGCAGGAACCTATGAAACAACTCAAACAAAATGCAAGGATCCAAAATTATATTTTTTCATATTAATATCAGAATTGTCCTATTCCACTTGTTCATTTACTCACATAATGTTGTTTTTTTACCCTAATTCACTTGTTCAATTTCCTATAATGAAATCAAGTGAAGTAGAGTAGTGAACAACAATTCATAAGTAAATGAACAATATACAGTATAGAAACAATAAATTATTTTAAGATGATTTAAATACCTGAAATAAAAACAAGTTAAGTAAGGTAATGAACATCATTTCATAAATAAATTAATAAGTGAAGTAGGACAATGAATAGGTGAAGTGAAAAAGTTTTGATATTAATTTAAATGAGAGAAAATTTTTTTATTTATCTCAAAAATTTAATATTAAATCAATATCCTTGAACTGCAGTGAAATTTTAAAAATTTAACATTTTTGAATTTAAATAAGTACAGTCCAAAGATATTTATTGAAATTCTCCTAATAAAGATATCTGAATATTGCATCAAAAAATTATGAAATTACATTTTAAAAATAATGAATTAGTTTTAAAACATAATGACTAAAATGCCCATATCTAAAATATTAATTTAAAATTTGCCAATGCTGAAATTACTTTAATTGAATTGAAAATTTAATCAAAAGAGTTATAAAATCACTTTATTTAATTTGAATTGACAATGTTTTACCTGCAACTGGCTAGTTTCAAATCCGCTAATGTTGAAATAACTTTAATTTTATTGAAAAATTTGTTGAATGGAATTATGAAAATCACTTCATTTAATTTAAATTTTTTTTACTCCCACACTTGCGAAAATTAGTTTGGTTGGAAAATTTTTTACTCCCGGGCTTACAATTTGCTAATTTAAAATTTATTAGTACTTAAATTATTTTAATTGGATTGAAAATTTAGTTTAAGGGGGTTACAAAATCACTTTATTTGAGTTGATTTTTTTCTCTCTCTCAGGCTTGCAGACTTGGCCAGCAAGGATATTTTAGTCAAATTATTGTTTTTAAAATTACAAAAAAGGACCATGTTCCTAAATATCGATTTCATAATTTCGGGCTCTTGCTGGAAGGTTCTTATTTGTAATTTTCCCTTTTTCTCCTAAAATTAAGATTGGAGAGAACATTTTTTAGAAGTGCCACTTGGTTCAAAATCTAAGACATCTGGTTGTTCTTATAATTTTTTTAACTACGCCCATAATTCATTTATTATTTTTAAAAATATATTAATTAAAATATTAATTTTTATTATTAAAGTACTTATATTTAGTATTTAATGAGAGTATAATTAAATTGATATAGAGTATAATTAGTTTTTGTAAAATTAAAATTTCAACTGATCATTTTTTATCAACGCGAGGGGAAATGGGTTTGCAAGGCGGCATGTAATAAAACGGTGCCGAGGCCCCAAGAAAAAAAAAACAAAAATTAGCGAAGAAAAAAGGATGCTAAGTAAATGATGGGTTGGACCGTTGGTGACGGTCATTGCTAGCCATTCATTAATATTGCAATTAATAATATATGACTCTTGCCCATTTGGGCACAACTTTAGGTGAATGTTTTGATGCTCTGGAAATGACCGGGAGGGGAAGAAACGCCACAAGCGAGCGGCCAAATCGACAAGCTTGACACTCTCTGGATAAAACATCACCGTCTATGGCAGTGAAGGTATATTGCAGCAGAGAGAGTTATTTTTGGAGAGATCGAGCTACAATTCCACAAGCGTAACGTAGCCTTAAATCCCGTAACTTGCCAGGTGCTTGTTGTATTGGAGTTTTCATGCCTCTAACTTGGGTTTAGGGGCGAATCTGCTTTCTAATATCTGTTTAATTAAGCGGGAAACCAAACGCATTAGGTAGCATACCTCAGTTCTGTCTCAACCAAAGGATAGAATACAAGCGCTTTCCCGCTGTTGGCCATTATTCTTCTTTCAAGTTTTAACCAACAGAAAGGAAGGCATGGAAAAGAGATCTATGCAAGAAAGAAAGGAAGCGCAACGTGCGGCGGTGCATGTACTATGTGCAGTGAATGACGATGGTGAGGCTCAAAACCCAAATCACATATGACAAGACCGTACCTAGATTATCACGTGATCATCAGCGATGATTATCACCTCAACAGCTGCAACGGAAATGACACGCACTGCTCATAAATTTCGACTACCAAGATAATCACGTCTCACTCTGACTGTCCCTTGAACAACTATTCAATTCCATTGAGACGTGTTACAGGGTATCTGCAATTCTCTATTTAGTATTTTCATAAGTTACAAGAGAAGACGTGGTCAACGGGCCAGTGCTGGACCAGACTCCCAACCACATATGCACTGCCTTGCTCATTCCCCTTCCTCCTGTTCCACGCAAACAGAGACATTTCCTTGTTCTTTTCTCCTCCACGGTGCCCATACTAGAATGGATCAGCAATTTTTTTACCCTAGTGTCAAACACACTGCTGCTACTTTTTGCTTGTTTGTTTATCTGTTTATTGTTCCTCGCACGGCATTAATGGTCACATTTACAATCAAGATGTCTCCCAAATCTACAGGAAAAAAAAAAAGAAATGGAACGGGTATTCTAAAAGGACGCTAGCTGGAATACTGAGAAGCAACGTTCTTCTTGAATTCTTCTAAGGATTGCCCGCCAGAGCCTTCCCTTCTCAGTCCCTCTTCACAAATCGTCCCTGCAGAACAATTAGGAGAGCAAGGTTAATTAATGGAGAAAACGAACGTGACAAATTTACAATTCATTGGAATCCAATTCAGAATGGTGCCACAGAGATTACGTGGAGAAGATTGTGAAAGTTAAAGCAGGAAAAAAAATATACTGCAGGGCTGGCGCATGTCAGATGTGGAAAGAAGAGATACAGAAACATGAATAAAGGAATGAAAAGTACCTTCATCCTGGGGCGCTTCTCAGCATTGAGCTTACGAACCTCGTAGCGGATTCGCTTGGAGAAGAGCCTGCTCTGCCTCTTCTCCTTGTATCTCAGCACGCTTGCCTCCCTTTGTCCCGTCTTCCGTCCCATTCCTTCCTTCCCTTTCGTCTTCTTCTCGCTCTCTTCCCATGCCTTCTCCACCACACTACTGTGCCCCCACACAACCTGCCATTCCACAACAACGTATTAATTAGCTCATTGCTCTTCTATATCCTTTACTCAATACCCTGTTTCCTTTTGTTTACCCATCCTCCTCCTATCTGCTGTATAAATATCTTAATTCTCCAACCAACTATCTCTTTTCCATGGGCCCCAGCACCCAACCAGCAATTCAACAAAGCTCACATCTCAATAATAATTATTCACCGAACTCCTTGTAACATCAGTCATCGACTTCCTCATACTCATAAAGTAATAAAAAAAAAAATCATCAAATCTCAAAGTCAACATGAGGATCCTGATCCACCATCGACTTAGATCATGCAGCACAGAGGATTCAGGAGGGGTTAACTGGATCATAAGAACCCATATTCGATCTCATTACTCTGTACGATTCCATGTGTCGACAATTCATTATAAACTATAGTCTATATACATGGACAATTTTAAATAATGAGGATTGGAGTGAAAAAAATAATTACATGTGGCGGATGGTTTGGACGGACGTGATCGAGGAAGTCGGGGACTGTTTGCTGTGTCTCGCTCGGAACGTAAAGAGGACCTTTGTCAGACCAGGCATTTAAGATGCCCTCGTAATCCAGCTTCAAGGACAGCAACCCGAACGACGCCGTCGTGGCGGTGCTGCAATAGCTTGTGACCTCCGAGTAGCACACCCACCTCTCCTCCCTCCCGTCCCTTTCATCCTCCTCGTTCCTCCTCTTCATGGCCTTCCGTACCAGTGATCTCCCGTTCTCCTCGTCGAAGGGGCACGCCGTCAAACACTGTGGCGACATAGAATCCTCCTCCGACACGGTGGTGTTGGTGGTGGTGGAGGAGGAATAGTCCTGTTCGAGAAGGCCGTTGAGTGTCGCGGGGCCGTGGGTAGTGAAGAGGAAAGCCACGTTGGTGTCGTCGTTCGTGACATCTTTGTGATGGATCAAGTTTTCAGGGTGTAAGGGGAAGAGGTTGAGCTGCTGATGATGTGTCATTGGATCTGACTGGTTTGATGAGAGTTGGAGGCGGAGACTCAGGAACTTGGGCCTCCTGGTTTTTGTTCTGTTTTTGCGGCGAGGTGTGCTGAGACGACTCAGAGAATTCCTGTGTGTGAGATCGGAAGGAGAAGACGGCGGAGGAGGGGTGTTGCTCTGACACATGGCTACTTATGGCTTCACAGTCACCGACCCCAAGCATACAACGCACATACAGATACACAGATACACTACTCTGGTCTGTTGGGTCTGATTTCCTCGCACAACAGAGAGAGGGAAGTGGAGGGGGGAGGTTGGAAAAGTGAGCAAAAAGTGAGGGACTTTTCCGAGGGAGGGACCCCATTAGGAGTGAGATAGCTCATCAGGCAGATGATGCTGACGCATTGCCTCTTTTTACACGTGGGGTGTTGTCATTGGTGGAGTAAGTGGATTATCTTGTTATCTGGATTTCGTTTTGGCTTGGATAGATAGAATAGAAAAATGAGTTCTTAAAAATCAATCATGTACAACATATATGCGCTTTGGATGATCAAGAAAATTGAATCAAGGAATTCTTCAAATATCTGGATTATCACCTCATGTCAGTTGCTGACATTGGCATCCTTAAAGCTCTTAAATTTATTGGATTGAAAAATTTAATAAAATCAATTTCTACTTGAATTTTATGGAAGCACTCATACTAATACTTAATGATTTCTTTATCAATTATCCGTTTGCTGAATCTATAAGCAAAATTAAAAAGCTAGTTATGAGAGACTGAACAATTACATTTAACTACATTTTTAGAGAAATAAATAATTGTGCTGGCTCAATAGCTTACCAAACTCCTACCAATAATTTCAATGTCCATATTGTCGATATCTTACTTCTTGATTGTAAAAATTATTTGTACACTGACATGATTTAATATTTTTATTTATAAAATTTTTTCATGACCTTCTATTCAATAATATATATATATATATATATATATATATATATTTGGCAAATGGCATCCTTGTTTGCTTTTTCTTACCCCTCACTGAGACTATAATTTCTTTTCACGTGTCGAAGCTACACCACTCAAACATCTTTAATAATATTGATTTTTAAGCATCACGTGCCCCGTACATATGTTTGTGTTTTTAAAAATAGTTTATTTATTTTGTATTCAAAACCTCGTCATGGTTATTCTATTATGATCTGCAAAAAATCGATCAGTGTTTGAATTCCTCGTGATGGATACAATTTTTTTTGCAGAAATATACGTTTGTTCTTTGACCTTATAAAGGACTTTAATTTGGCCTTTTATTTTGATAAATATTTTTTTAACTCCTTTAAACTCAGTAACATTAGTTTCGATAACAAAAAAAATACTGAAACTATAATTTTAAATGTTGCAAAACATTCTCAAAATTTAAGTTTATCAAAAACTTATTATTGTTTGAAGCCTTTAAATACACCCGCGCGTGTGTATTCTATAGCTCTACTGAATAAAATCAATGTACAGGCTTACTGACGCAATTCAGTGAAAAACAGGAAAAAGAGTTCATCCTCAATAAATATAAAGTGAAATATGTTTTAGCAGTAAATTGCAAATATCCTTTATTTTTAAGAAAAATACATATGCATTTGAAAAATATACAGGAAGTTATATAATTCAAATCCATATTTAAAAAGAAGAGTATTCTTGAATATATCGTCATGATTCTATTCATTTTTTATAAAAATTCAAATCTGATATTAAGCATTTAATACATTAAAATTTTTGAACTGGTGATTTAGTAAAATGCAATTCTACATGTAAAAAGACTAGTTCACCCTAAAAATATAACATCCCAAACTTGATAGCATCAACATTCATGTGTAAGTAATAATGCAGGTAATTAACGTCAAGAAAACTGGACTAGTCACTGGACCAACTAAGACATTGGTTCATGATTCAACAATCAAATCATGACTTGAATTGAGATTCAATCGGTTGCGAATGAATTTATATATTATAAATAATATATGCTTAAAATAAAAAATAATTATATATAATAATAAAAATTAGTTTTTAAATTTGAAAAAATATAAAATAACAAAGATAATATCCATCAACATTCTATTATTTCTATCCAGGGAGAATGACAAGCAAAGATCTTATAAGAATATTAATGCTAAATCAAGAATTTTAGTATTAAAACACAGGAAAAGAAGTACTGAATTTAGAAACGTTAGTGTTAAATAAATCCTAATTTGATATTACTATTTTTATGAGGTCCTTACTTGTCATTCTCCATTTTATCCAAAATATATGCACTTATTTCACAATTTATGATCTATAACTTTAAAATATATGTATGTATGTTTCATTGCATATTTGTTCATTTTTCTTCATTTGTCAATGTTTAATAGTTATAAATATATATAAATGTAATTCATAAATATGAATTAAAAATTTTAAATATGAAAAAAAAATAAAAAAATAATAGGACCAATTTAACCATTTTTTGACTAATTTGAGGTAAGTTCAATCGATTATCAAGTTTGGTGGTTTCCTGTCATAATTTATTTTATAACTGGTGATCACAAATATTTTGCATGTAGGCTCCAAATTCTTCAGGCACCATAGTCTCAGGCATGCAATTATAAAAGGGGCTCTACTAAAACTGGAGCTAGAACTTCAAGTAGGATGTGTGTAAAATCTATAGGATAGACAAGTAAGGTTACTTTTACTAATCCCCCCTAAGTTTCAAATGCCACGGTAATTACGTGATTTGTCAAATTTCACAAATGAGATCCTAAGTTTTTAATATTTTTAAAACATTCCAAAAACTCTTCACAAGTGAAAAATCAAAGTTCACTTAACATATAATCATTGAATTCCATCACAAATCACGTAATTGAACTCCAAATAAAACAAGTCATGAAACTCTACTAACATATTTCATAGAACTTCACATTTATACTATGATTGTACTCCAACTAATCACAATCATTGAACTCGATAAAACTTTAATATAAATTTGTAACATTTCATGCCACACTTGCATTAAGAAATTTCAAACATGTCAATTGTAAGGCTCAAATTAATAAATCAATTAACATACAAGAGTATAAGAGATAATTCCTCTGATTAACTCAAACCTTTGAGAAGTTAAAGGTTTCACCTCTTAATTACACATTTTCAAAACTTTCACAAAGTTTGAATGGTGCCAATATGCTAACTCCACAATTAATCACAATATAATTCATCAATACCCCTTTTTGGATAATTTTCACTATTAAATTGAACACTTCTCCACTTTTAATATTCAATCTCTTCCTATACAAAGGTATTAATTGGGTTCCTTAACTCCCTTTAACTCACATTAACCTCATCAAACTCTTAAATAACCATTAATGAAGCCACAATGTACCAACTATCATGTTTGTGGTGGGATTTTCTAGTATTTATTGCCCCCAATCACCATCACTCACAAACCATAAATGCTAGGTTTTATTAGTTTAGTCAACTGCCATTAATTCTATTTAAGTCGATGGGTTCAGAACCATAACCTCTATGGATTGAAAGTCATTTTTCTCAATCAAACCCTAACTTTTTACCAGAGAAAATGGAAGAGAAAGTGAATGAATAAGCTTAGAATCATTACCTTGAGTGTTATCTAACTCTAAGATACTTTCAAACCTTCAAAGAAGCAAGCCGTAACAGAGAAATCTCACCCCTTCTATTTTCTCCTTTTCCTTCCTTTTCATTTTTTGAATACACTGTGACTATTTTAAGCAAAATTTTGGCCATGCACTACGACACACACAGCACGTGTTGTAATATCTTAAAAATTATCCCCTTGATTAATTAAGCTAATAAAGGATAAATTTATATATTTAAATATAAATTGATTTAAGAATAGTTAAAGAATTGCTATTGGGTTTGATTTTAACTTTTAAATTGAGTTTGAAAGTGAATTAGGTCTCTTGAACTCAAATTGTAGAGAAAAATTAAATTTTTAACACACTTTGTGTTATACTGCAACATAAAAATTTAAGCTACAACATCATTTTCAAAATCAGTCTTTTTAAGAATTCAAAAACAGGGAAAAACACTATAAAACAAAGGGAAGGTGACGAAGAGAGTGATTTCTCTACCAGGACATCAACTTTTAGGCATTTTGGAGGTGATTGGACCTTTATTTTACCTAAACATGCCTTCTTTCTTCTTCTCTCTACACGTTTTGGAAGTGAGATTTAATGTTAGGAGATAACAATTTTTGGATTTAGAACTATGGGTCTGAATCTATTAGTGTAAATAAGACTAATGAGAGTTGTTTGAGTTATTTAAACCTTAATATAGTAGTTTTATACATCCATAAGAGTGAGCTTTCAATTGTGGACGAAATTATACCCCGAGGTGCCATAAATGGTAGTAGTTGAGGTAAGTAGCTATCATTGATGTTGATTAAGATTTTGTTAGTATTAGTTGGAGCTAATGAAAGTTAATAAACCTAATATGGTGATTTAACTCATGACTTAAGAGTTTTAGGTGATGAAAGTGTTGAAATTTGAGAGTTAAAAGTGAATAATTTGTGACGTCAATGATAATTTTAGATTGTTAGATGATATATTAGTAATTATTTTTAAGTTATTGAGAGCTAAATAAAGTTAATGCGAATTAAGGAATCATTGGATTCGAGGTTGATTTTGTAGTTAAAAAATTTAGTTATTAAAATATGAAATTAGATATTGAAAGTGGTGATTTTAATTATTATTATTGATGGGTGTTAATGTTAATTGTAGACCAACCCTATAAAGCACATAAGAACTTAAATTTAGTTTAAAAGCAAGTGGTGATGAAAGGTATACCTTTAACCTCTTAAAGGTTTGAGGTAATCAGGGAAAATCTAGTTTTTATAGTTGAATATTAATTAATTATTGATTGAAATTGTTGTTTTAAAAACATGATTGATATTTTGAACTTTTTGATGCAAATTTAGCATTTTTGAAAGTTATGTTGAATGGTTGTAAATAATATATATGTTTTACATGTGTGAAATCATTTTGAAAAAAATAAAGAACTCTATACATGATGTATATATGAGATTAATGATTATGTTTGATGGCATGCGATTGTAAAAATTGATGAACATGTGATAATTGACAAGTAAAATGTGATGAGTATGTAAGTAAGGATATATGGATTCATGATATGAATGATTGATTATAATGCATATACACATGTGATATACGTGCATAGCATGATTATTAATAGAAGTTCACCTACGGAGAGGGATAGTTGATTAAACTCACATGATATTGGCATTGACAGTTG